GAAGATCGACAACAGACCGAGAAAGATTATGTCGAACTAAATCCTGGATGAGAAATTAACAAGTTTGATATTTCTTTAATTAAAATATACAAAGGCTGGTTTTGAGCACTTTTCAATAAATATGCTTTATATTTTAAATATAAATATATTTTGACCTGTCGATAGTACCCTGAAGATCGACAACAGACCGAGAAAGATTATGTCGAACTAAATCCTGGATGAGAAATTAACAAGTTTGATATTTCTTTAATTAAAATATACAAAGGCTGGTTTTGAACACTTTTCAATAAATATGCTTTATATTTTAAATATAAATATATTTTGACGCTGATTAATACTATGTGCTTAGCACTACAAAACCATCAGAAGCAATCCTACTTGCGGCCATAAAAGAACAAGTTACAGTAAATCTTGTTTGGTACTGTCGGAACATATGGATATGGTATCCTAATACAAGTTCACAACGATCTGTGTTTGTACTCATTCTTTTTTTTTAAATTAGTTATGTAGTTGAAGTCGACCACCAGTTTCCTCAGTCTGGGTCAAAACCAGAATTTTAGAATTCACCATAGAATGTAATCTGTGCTTAAAAAGAGTGATAAAATACATACGTGAAAATAAAAAAAATTAACCTTCAAATGACCATTTCCTAACCCTTTATAGCGACATCAGGTTGAAACCACTTCAGCATATCAGCACATGGGGTGTCATAGCATAAGTTTGGTCCAAAACTTCGGACTTCCCCATCTTAGCATTTTTTGCAATTTTTGCCTGGTCTTTTCGCGGATACACTCTTAAGATCATCGGAATGTTCAAAACAAATTTATTGGCTAAGAAATGTCGATTGGCAGAGAAATAGTCAACTTAACCATCCATCAGAATCTGATCTGCTAGAAAACAAATATATCAATTACCTGATTATCTAAGTCTAGATGGCCTCGACAACTAGATTTTATATTATGACGGTCAAATGAAAATTTATTGCGAATATCATTTTTCGGAGGGGATTCCCCAAATTAAGGTCAACTGCCTGATCCTTCCGCAGTATTACCAATAATGTTCATTAAATATGGACTCCAACAAAGCAATTATCTGAAAGGATAAAGTATACTAAGCAGAATTGAACCCAGGAAATGTTCTCAAAAACGCAACATGACTTCTGAGATGGCAATGTGTTCTCCATGATTTTCATGTAACTCATGCTGCACGTGCTGTTCACCAGGACCAGCCCTATAAAAATGCACCCCCATACCTGGTTGAATCATTCACACTACAAGTACAACGTCAGCAGCATGCCACGACTCACGACAGCTCAGAGGAACCAGGCGCTTGGAAGACTCGACGCTGGTCACACTGCCCAAACCGTTGCTAATCACTTCCAGGTCAATGTTCGGACCATCTACAGGCTTCAGCAACGCTTTCGGGCCACCAACACCACGGATGATCGCCCCAGAACTGGTAGACCAAGGGTTACCACAAGGCGACAAGACCGCCATGCTGTGCGACAGCACATGCAGAATCCCTTCACACAGGCATCCGAGACAGCACGGCAGACAGTGGGAACACACGGAAGACCCATCAGTACCGATACAGTGCGCCGACGTCTAACCAGAGAGCACATCCATTGCCGTAGATCTTACCATGCACCGATCCTCACCCCTCGCCATCGACGTGAACGTCTACAGTTTGCCCAAAACAACCAGAACTGGCGACACAGGCAATGGAGAACTGTTTTGTTCACAGAGAAGAGTCCGTATTGCGTATCAACTGCAGATGGCAGGACCAGAATATGGCGTCGACGTGTTCAGCGTTATGCGGATGAATGTGTCACGGAACAAGACTCATTGGGAGGTCCAAGCATAATGGTTTGGGGTGGAATCGGCCTAAACCAGAGAGTGGGTCCAGGTAGAGGAGGCGGCATCATAGCAGTGCGCTACATCGATCAAGCTCTCAGACCCCACGTCATACCACACTTCGCACGTCATCGAAACAACGTTTTCTATTTCCAGCATGACAACGCCCGTGTCCACACCACCAGAGTAACTCGGGACTTTCTACACCAGAACAGTGTCGACGTTATGGACTGGCCAGCCCTTAGTCCGGACTTATTAAACCCGATTGAACATCTTTGGTATGAAATTCAGAGGAGACTTAATAACGCCGTACTTATTAAACCCGATTGAACATCTTTGGTATGAAATTCAGAGGAGACTTAATAACGCCGTACCGAGACCAAACACAGCAGATGGATTGCGCCAGGGTTTTCTGAGAATGTGGTTCGAGATGCCAATGGCGTTCATCAATCGCCTGGTCCACTCCATGTACAGGCGCTATTCGTGCATACCGGACCGTAGGCTACCTTCTTGGATAATGTACCCTGATTGTAAGAACAATCACGTTTAAAACTTGTGGTCCGTCTAGGGGTTATGATTTTATTCGATTTTTAAAACCATTCAAATATGTCACTACAGTCCTACGAAATGGCCGCTCCTTGTACGCAAATAGTGTAAAAGCTTGTATGTAATACCAAGATTATGACTCCTCTAGAGGTCACAATTTTGATCCGATTTTGATGAAACTTAAAATGTATGTTTATATCCCAAAGATCTCAGCCCCTATCAATATTCGTGCATATCAGACCATAACTTCATGACTGAACGAAAAAAAAATCATCTTTTTAGCTTGTCGACACTCAAGAGGTCACAATTGTTATTAGATTTTGATGAAACTTGAAATATATGTTTATATCCCAAAGATCTTGGTTCTTTTTGATATTGTCGCATGTCGGATCATAACATCCTGAATTATGGTCACATTTTTTTTATCCGATCTTAAAAACCGTTTAAATATATCACCGTTACAACCTAATGGTGGTTGAGGTCGAATTTCTCTGTCCATGTCTTGGAAAATGTAGGTGTGGCAACTGTCTGTTTGGTAATTCGATCTATCACATCTGGCGCATTACTGAAGGCGCTTTATAAAGAAATGTCTTTTAAAGCCGAAAAAAACATAGAATGAAATATTGGTGTAATATTAATTAGCTTAGAAGAATCCCAGCATGTTTAAACACACACTCTGACATGCCGATCATATGTGCCAGCTAGGTTGCTCCAGCGACAATAGCCCCATCTAAAATTGAATTTGGATATGGTTATTAGACTAGATAAGATGAGTTTGATGCACGGACCAAGACAGTCGTCAATATATTTCCTCCGCATGAGTAGTAGTACCGTAGTTCTTTAACGTCTGCTTCCACTAAAGTCGTATCGCAGACAAAACCTAGGAGAGCCGAAGCTTCTTCCTGTTTTTAGAATATGATTTTGTAATATTTCTATTTGTGACCACTGGCCATGAATTGGTTTAGTGATAAGTTCTTCCCTTTATTGAAATTTAAAAAGACGTAGCCTTTGGTAGTGGGGCATTTAAGACAGCATTTAGGACAAGCCAAGCAATCCCAGGTAATTTATAGCTTTCAGCTGTTGAGCGTGGGGACTGGGGAGTTGCCGTGTCCGAGATAAGACGCGGGCCTGTTAACGAGGGTGTCCGGCTTTTCATCTATGTAATGGCCGAGAAAGTTCCTGGGCGTGGTTTCCCCTGCTCAGTGATGCAAAACAGAGGGACTGGGGCCGGCGACGAACAGCGCCTAGACGTTTGGATGGGACGAAAATCCAAGGCCCAACTGTACACGTAAAAGATCCCTTGGCAGTATAGGAATTCGAAATGAAAGTAGCTCGTATAGGCGGTCGTAGCGTCGCTCAACGGATATATATTTCCATTGTAGCACATGCATGGCGAATGCCCTATTTATTATCCCGGTTGGTGCATTCTTGTTACAGGTCCAATAATTCTGTATAAAAGATATCTGAGGTCTCATAATTTTGACAGGGTTCCTCCCGATGACAAGGAACAATTCCTGCCAATGTTAAAAACTTATATTCCGCAGATTGTGGCAGTAACTAAGCCAAAATGGATGTTTCAAGTTAGATAACGTTCCTTCTTGTATATGACGCTCTTCGAAAAAAGACTTTGAAAAGGATAGGGCTTCAACAATTTAAGTAAGATCGACATGAAAATGGTTATGCTTGTTTGTTGGACAGTGTACTTTTTAATTTTCTACTGTCATTTTCAAAGCATTACCTACGGACTCGTATGGTTATAAAGAATCCATTGTCTTCTTTCTCTAAGCTTCAATATTTTTGTGAATAAAGATATTTCCTGGATTTTTTTTTTTAAAACGGGGGGATTTTATTGATTAACTGTCACCCATCAATCATTTTGACAAATGTTTTATAACTTCTCATGCATAGAGAGAACCGATTTAAATATAAAGCACTTACAGGGTCGTATAGGTGTATTTATGCGACTTAAGTTTGTAAATCATGATGGCAATAGTCGTCACTTTGCTGCTAATAACAGGTAGGAAATAGCTATTCTTAAAATCAGCAGGAATAATAGTATTATATACATTCAAATACAATATGTTTATGTATACCCCGTGTCCATGCTTTAACGATAGGCTACACTTACTGAAATTTGGCTTAAAGAGACATTATTACATTCAGTTAGAGTTCGAGATAATTTTTTCTAGAAACTTTCATGTATCGACAATGGATTGTTAGATTCTTTTATACGCCCACATTTTCATGTGGACATATATTGTCGCCCCTGTCCGTCCGTCCGTCCGTCCACAATTTGTTTGTGGACACTCTACAGGTCATAATTTTTATCCGATTGCAGACCTAAACTTTCTCGAAAATGGCCCCTGATTGTACAAAAAATCGTTTTTTGTTTTTAGCTTATTCTCTATCCATCTCTTGCCTGGCAGCCGCTGGTTTCAAATGAAAAAAAAGACATGCTTGATAAACTACATACTCTAGTGGGTTGGTTTCTTTGTCGGCCTTCTCAAGTGCACAGATAACATAATATTTCCTCGTACAAAAGCAGCAGCCACCACGCCACTGACATAATACGTACATCTGCATATGTTGTATTGACAGTTAGAAGTTGCAAGTCTCACTACTGTCCAGAACCAAGCGGTCTAGCAGGAGCATGTGTATTTAGACCTGAAATCAATTGTTTAAGTGATTCAGAATGTTCAAACGGTATGTTTTGTACTTTGATTATTCTAGTTTGAAAACAAAATCACACCGGCTGTAGTTCTTATAACATAACACATTATGTAAATCTATCTTATTGAAGTCATTTTAAATTATGTTTAGTAATATACAGTTGCCATGACAACCAGTTTTTTTTATAGTATCTTATATCTATCTTGGTAATCAATCATTTATTGGAAAACATGACACACAGGTGTATTTAGTATCGCTAATATGATATGAGATAAGACTCTATAGTAGCAAGGTGTAACCATACTAACAGTAGGCCCCTAAGCTATGTTTAATTGAAGTCCTAGGGTGTGATTTTAGCGATATAAGAATCCCTTGCAAACTGCGATATTGTAAAGGTTGACTGAATCTCTAATAGGAACATATGGACTAATTTCGTTCAGTATTTACATAGATATGAAGAATTGAAATTTTTCAATGATGATGTGACAGCTGACGCTTTTCGAAAGACTTGAAATTACTTTTGCACGGAAACACTACGTGTTACTGTTATTTCAGTGCTTTGTGAATCTTGTATTTATGGACTTAGAATTTTCTGCGCGGCACATTTGTAATATATCTACGGTAAAATAAACAGGACATGGAACATATAAAGTTGTAACATGGACGGGAAATCTTCCTTTGTTCTTTTCGTTGAATGTTATTGCACTCTTTTGCTGGTTTACATTAGTTTTAGTAGAAATCATTATAGAGAAGTGGGGTGGGTTTTCTAAGCAATAACACCTCAATGTTTACACCTGTTAACTCATGAAAGCCGTGCAATAAATATAACTTGCCATAATGTTCAATCCTCTTTAGTGCACATTTTAATAAACTGACAAATTCTTCCCCGCCCTAACCCTTTATTAAATCCTGGATACACCATTGTCGGCCCGGAGAAAAGCTTCGGACTTGTACTAACAGGCTTAATGCGAAATATTTGGTAAATATAAGAGTTGGATTCAGCCAGAGTAACAAATAAATAAACACCATTCTGTGTATGTCAAGCTCAAACTTTTCAGTACATGTATTTGAATTTATATTTAGGTCAGCTTTGCTGCAAAGAAGGTTGTGGTAGTGTGTGTAAAAATCCGATACACGTTTCCCCAGGTAAAGTATATTCATGTTTTTTACTGGTATATCCGCTAATTTTATACACAAATATATGTATTAGAAAGAAGGATTAGTATAGAATCTGCAATAAAATCCAGGATAGGGTTATGGATGTAACCTATGCCTTTTAAGGGTTTTCCTGTGTTTAAATATGGCAAGTTGACAACACATTGTACTTGATTCAACAGGTAGATGTCCACGCCTATCACCTTCAGCTTATTGGGTCAGATGTTTACAGGTTAACCGATGTGATAATGACGCGGATTGTTCACCATCAAGGAAATGTTGCCGACAGCCTTGTGGAAGGCGATGTGTTGATGTTGAGATTGATCCCGTCCAAAAACCGAAGTTAGGTATATGTATTTATTTTATTAAATTATAAATACATTTCTTTGGTGTATTTGAAATATTTACCTTGTGGAGAGCAGCGTCCTCAAAATATATTTAGCTTAAATGAATTTTATAAACATTTTAAACAGGAACCTGTCCCAGTTCTCCAGATCCATCTGTCATCCTTTGTGGACCAGACCGTACTAACCAATGCGACACCGATGGCGACTGTCATGGGGATCTTAAATGCTGCCCAAACCCCTGTGGCAGAGTTTGTGATCTCGTTAGACCAAAGCCAGGTTAGTCTTATATTTCGTAATTCTAAAGAAAGAAATTAATGGAAGCTGCGATTAGCAGATAATATTTGTTGTGGTTGGAAATCCATCAAACAAAATGAAGTGATGACAAAAACGTCATGTGACCATAATATTGTGACATTTTCTCTCTGATCGTTAGTAGTCCAGTTATAAATATAAATGACGTTCCAATTGTAGCAGTCCTATTAATCACCGACAAGAGTGCTTTTTGTCAATATCACCCAACGAATTGTAAAAGGAAACCTACAAGGAAAGATATGTTATAGATATGCATATTCTACAAATGATTTAATCAAAAACAAAAAAAACAAAAACAAAACAAAAAACAAATGATGGATATTCACGTCTATCTGGAAAACAGGGCATACCTGTATAATTCAATATCTTTAATTCTATGCATATTAATTGCTACAGGTATGTGTCCAAGTAACCGTCGTCCACCTTTCTGTAGAAGAAGATCAGATCAATGTGATAATGACAGAGACTGCCCTTTAACCCAGAAATGTTGTCAGCTTTGGTGTAGTAATCGATGTGTTGATGTTGCGATTGATCCAGTCCAAAAACCAGGTAGAGTTATAGCATTTGTTGTTAATAATGTTAATGTAGTTTTACATTTTCTTTGATGTATGAAGGTTAATGTAAATAACTTAGGTACATGTATTTATTTTATTGTATAAATATATTTCTTTGGTGTATTGGGGTTAATGTAAATAAATTAAATATATATGTATGTGTTTTCATGTTTATTAATTTATAAATATACTTTCTGTTTCATTGATAAAAAATGGCACTACAACATTACGTAATTTAGTAATTAAAGTGGGTCATTCCATATCAACTGGACCAATGGTGGAAACATGACCCCCTCCAAAAAAATTATAAAAAAATATATGTTATAGTATATGGCCTTAAACTAAGAAATCCTAAATTCTACCTCTCTAGGTTGGAAACTCGCTGAGATGTGGCCATTTAAAATTAGGGCACTGAAATGGATCATAAATTCAGTATTTTTTTCAGTTTTCGGATGCTTTAAACTCACATTTCTTATAGGACTAGAACTCCCTAACTTTGTAATCTGAGACAACTTTTGGTGTAGATGATGAATTTAGCATCACACGCATTGTCCAATGCATACTGTTTGCGCCACCAGAATGAATTATTCACTTTTATTTTCAAGATTTCTACAGCCCCTGGCAAAGTCACTATTGCATACAAAACCTCCAAAATTGACATAGTTAATGTCAGTTTGTCTAATTTTAATCTTATCGTCAAAACCCATTATTCCAATTCGTGAAGCGTATTAACCATTTTGTTCTCATTTTGGAGGCAAAATAAAATTAGAACAATACAATGTACATCCAAAATGCTGACATATTTGTAATTAATATGCAAAAAGTCACTCTAAATGGCCAAAAATGAAGGTGAAAATGGGTATATTTTGTACGTTTTCAGTGTACACTGAACTACGAGACTGAATATTTGAAAAAAGTATATTATATCCCATCGACTCGGAATCTTTTGTAAATTGAAATAAGACAAACTGACATTAACTATGCCAATTTTGGAGGTTGTGTATGCAACAGTGACTTTGCCAGTGGTTGTGGAAATCACTTTGCCACCTGGTGGCACGAACAGTATGCATTGGACAATGAGTGTGATGCTAAATTCATAAACTACACTCTTATTAGAAGAGCGCGTTTAAAGCACTCGAAAACCTAAAAAAAAAATACTGAATTTATGATCCGTATCAGTACCCTAATTTCAAATGACCATATCTCAGCGAATTTCTGACCTGGAGAGGAATAGTTTTGGATTTGTTAGCTTAAGTCCATGTTCTATAACATATATTTTTTTATATTTTTTTTTGCGGGGGGGGGGGGGTAATGTCCCAACTTTCCGAAATTTGTTCCACTTGACATGGAATGACCCAGTTAGATAGTTCGAATTAAAAGGCAAATGTTAACGCCCCCGGTCTTCAGACCCTTTCCTCCTAAAAAGGAACTTGGTAATTGTTGGCAGACCGTCGACAATTATATTTTCAATTGGAAAGATTATGCGGAAGTCGGAATTTTTTTAAATATTAATTTCCGTTACATCTCAATATTGGCTCCGCCTATTGGTCTGGAATTTAAAAGAGGTCGTATCCTTTAAAACCAAGTTTCTAGACAAATCGGCCCCGTTTGTCGCGACGCAGGAGCGCCATCACGTAGTGATCTCTAAAACTATTATGGCCACTTCCGCCTTCATTTCTATCGGGTTTGGAGCTCAAAGGACGGCAATAAACTCGCTCTAACTTGACTGAATGAAAAATCTAACATACCTTTTGACTTTGTGGAATAACAATCTATAATTCTAGTGATCTTTTTTTTGAAAATCTTATCGGATTCCAGAGAACAGATGTATTTTCTTCATGATCACCATCAAAACATTGAAGAATCGATTATGTCGTAAATTTTATGTTAATTAGATTGCCATTACTTAGATTTTCCTTTTTCTCACTGTTTTATTGTCGATTTGGGATGATACGAATATTTAGTATATATTAAAGACGTCTCTATTCATTTGACCTCATTTGACGTTTAAACCTATATAATGTACATGAATTTTAGGTACTATTTTTTTGGCGGATGAATACAGCTGTTCTGTATTGTATTCTGTTGTAGACTGTGAAAATTTTGGATCCATGTGTCGACGCTTTAAATCACATGGATCCATTAAACCTTCTAACTGTTTAATTCCATTTTTTTCATTGAAGATTCTTATATTACAAATCTTTCCCTACACTAGAAACGTAATCACTGGATTTACTTTAACCTGGAGACCTTATTCCAGCTATTGTCAGAAAATTAGGTCATCCTACTAGAAATACGAACACGGTTTAACTTTTATGAATTTACATTGTGGAGAGAAACGTCACCGAGTTATATTTTGTTCCAATAACTTTTATAAACATTTTTACAGGAACCTGTCAATGTGAAAGAGTTGGTTCACCAAACGAATTAATGTTTAATTTATTTTCTCGCACTACTAAAGAGAGTGTGCTTTCACAAAGGGGACAAAGCGCCACGGGTGTATTAATTATGGTAATTATTATTCAGGAATATGTCCTACATCTATAGATCCAGCCGTGGTTAGGTGTCGTCCGCCAATTACTGATGAATGTGGCAATGATGATGATTGTAGTGGTAGATTGAAATGCTGTTCAAATCCTTGTGGACGCATCTGTGACCTTGCGCAACCCAAACCAGGTGGGTTTATTTCACTAGTACTACTGCAATGCAATAACATTGAATGTTTGCATTGATAAATAAAAGTGACACTTAACCACATACGTTCACGTCTATCTGGAAAACTTATACACAGGGCATACCTGTATAATTCAATATCTTTAATTCTATGCATATTAATTGCTACAGGTATGTGTCCAAGTATCCGTCCTCCACCTTTCTGTAGAAGAAGATCAGATCAATGTGATAATGACAGAGACTGCCCTTTAACCCAGAAATGTTGTCAACTTGGGTGTAGTAATCGATGTGTTGATGTTGCGATTGATCCAGTCCAAAAACCAGGTAGAGTTATTAAATTTGTTGATAATGTAGTTTTACCAAGAATGACACATTCCGTTATTCTATGTAATAAATTAAAGGGTATGAGGTGATACGATATAACAAATTCGTAGATTATCGAAAGAATATAATTCTTAATGGTTATTTTTTCCAATATTAACAAATTGTATCTCATTTATTGGTCCCCAAATTAAACTTTGATATATTTGCTGTATGTTCGTGGTTCGTGGGTTTCCCTTAATTTCTTTTACCCAACTGAGTTGTGCAATAATACGTACTTGTCAGATACACATTAAAATTAAACAAATTATACGGAGCCCCTGAAGTGCACGAAATAATTAATTCGTTTAAACGAAAAATTGATTTCGTTAATACATATTGTTTAAACGAATTAAAATTTTAAGAGTGGGGTCGTTCAATTAAGGGGCTCCGTAAAATTATATAGAGAATCTATAATAAGAGACTATTATCGATATCTGTGTTGTATATATGCAGTGGTCAATCTTGGACTCTGTTTAACCCTATCCAGTTTTTATCGTTTCCCAGGAACATGCCCAACACCTCCAGATTTAGCTCTAGTAAGTTGTCTTTTACCAATAATAAACCAATGTAGGAATGATGGAAACTGCAGACTTGACCTTAAATGCTGTCCAAATCCTTGTGGGCGAAGATGCGATCTAGACAGACCAAAACCAGGTGAGATATTTTATATCCTAAATATATTTTAATTTTGAAACTGGCAAAAACATTATTGTAATCACTCGATATATATGTTTGGCTTCGGGGTACTATTAATCACCGACAAGAACAGATTAGATTTAACAATGAACAGTAGAATATGCATATCGATAAAATTATTTCCTTGTCGGTCACCTTTTGCGGTTTGTAGCGCGAAAATAAGGAATTGATACGGACTCTGGTAGAGAAAGTAGGCGTCCTGTTGCAAAAATTATTTCCTTGTCGGTCACCTTTTGCGGTTTGTAGCGCGAAAATAAGGAATTGATACGGACTCTGGTAGAGAAAGTAGGCGTCCTGTTGCAAAATATGTACTTTGGACTGAATTTGTTTTGATCGCTTTGTGACGGGGTCGAACTGTGTAAATATCATGTAGGTATTAAACTGAATTAAACAAATATATTTGAAATTTTACATAAACGCTTTATAATATAATTCGTTTTATAATAATTTGTAGGTTTTTGTTCAAGAATAACGAAACCCACTGAAATTTGTTTAGTAGTTGATAATTGTAAAAATGACAGAGATTGTCCTTTATCACAGAAATGTTGTCAACAGGCTTGTGGTACTCGATGTGAAAATGCTCTTGTTATTGCACCTCCTTCCAAACCAGGTACTGAAATTAACTATTTCTATAAAACCACAATGCAGTAGAAGGTCAATAATCATTAAACATTTACACCTTACTGTTTTCACCAGAAGATTGGTAAACACTTAATGAGACAACCCGCTTAAAGTGGCAATATTGAATACAACAAGCCTTCACAATCCATAAATACATTATTAGAGAACATGGCTAGTACGGGGTCCTGTTTCTCGAAATCTTAACTAAAGATAAAATCCAAATACTTCAATTTTGATTGGCTAAGCACTAAAATCATCTAATATTATCCAATCAAATTACTAAAATTTGGATTTTATCTTAGTTAAAATTTCGTGAAACCAGGACCAGGATCTTAAAATGTTAGAATGTATAGATTAATATGCATAATTCATATGATTGAGGGCTGATTTTTGCCGACGAATGGTTCTGGAAGCAAGAATCGTTATAGCTATAAAGCTACTGTCTGACTGTCGCAAGTGGTGTTCATTTGGTTATTTCCGGTTTCTAATAGCTGTATTATTGGAAGTATTTGAAATACCTCCAAATTCATAGTACTAACATACTTAATGTAGAATCCTGGCGTGTTCGAACAATGACAATAGGGGTTTGCTTCAACGTTCGAAAAACACCCATGTGCACCCATAGACAATGTTGAAGGACTTATCTTAAAAGGATGTATCAGTTTCTTTTCGATATTTTATACTAAATTTTCTGGCAATTCTTAGGTTTTAAAAACATAACCTGACTGTATCAATATTTACGAATAATATAAATTCAACTTTAGAAATACATCGGTTAGTACCATATTTGTACTTGTATTATAGGTGTATGTCCTGTTTCTGTTGGTCCACCTGTTGAAAGTTGTCCATCTCCACCACTAACTAACCAATGTAACATTGATGATGACTGTAGTGGTGATCAAAAATGTTGTTCAAGTACCTGTGGAAGAGTTTGTGATCTCGTTAAGCCCAAACCGGGTAAGTCCAATCCATTATTTTAGTTGAGAGAAGTGCCAATTCGTTATAAAATAGAGTTCCATACCTTCACAAGCCCGCTAAGAATCTAATTAGAAAAGTGAAAGTACACTTACAACGTAAATAATCAGAATTACACACCACCACCTCATTATAAAGACTTTGTATTATTGCAAAACCGTACAACATATATCGGATTGAACATCCATTTCGCTTATTATTAATGATAACATAGAATAGGACATAAAGTAGAGTTCTCCCCCTTATATATTTGCATTCTGACCTGTGGGTTTATCTTGGATGTTAAGAGAGTAGCTCTTCATGTATTATGTAACTTCCTTTAGGCTACTGACATGTACGTTTAGAATAAATGGAGAACCAATTACGAGTGGTTTATCCCAACCCAAATATCGTAAAAATGTTCATAAATTGCAAAGTATACAAAATATTCAACAGGGTTTTGCCCCAACTTACCACGATCAGCGTTTTTTGTCAAATGTGTACCATTCAGTAGATGTGATAATGATGGAGATTGTCCTTCAAGACAGAAATGTTGTGAACGTGGATGCGGTAGACAATGTGTTAATGCTAATACTAACTCACCAATAAGAAAACCAGGTAAAAATCGTTTGAATTATATATGTTTTCGGGGTCTTGTTTAATATATGGGATATAGATTCTTGAAATTCTTGTAATTTTGTATCAAGTGTAACATTTTTGGGAAGAGAGTACGATAATATTATTTGAACATCAAGATTTTTTTCGTCCATTTTCTTTTTCATTCAAACATTCTTTACCATATAATGTTTTACAAGTAAGATAATTATAGACATGTTAACAGCCTTTGAATTTGCTTGTTACAATGTGTAGTGACATCAGAATAATTGATTGTTCTAACTGAGACAGAACACATTTCCATTCACGGAGTATTGCGTAGGCCGAGAAAATTCCCTCATCGCACAATGTATGGCGTATGCCCGTCTTCATTAGCCCATGTAACACTTAGGTGTTTATTTGTCATAAATTTATGTATTACATAATGTTTTAATTCTAGGAGTATGCCCCACCCCTCCTGACCTAGCTGCGACAAGCTGTGTTCTACCAATAACAAATGAATGTAGCAATGATAGAGGCTGTAGAGATGACCTTAAATGTTGTCCAGATCCTTGTGGAAGAAGATGCGATCTTGTCAGACCAAAACCAGGTCAGATAATTCTTATATTAGTCATGCAAATGGTTACGGGTAAAATAAGAATACATACGGTCGTATATGCCAATGAAAATGACATGACACACTCTGCGTTATCCAATAACCCATTATGATGTTATCACACGTGGATATAAAATGTTTATTGTAGGCAACTACTGAAATAAACTAGATAAGATAACAAAGGTGTCGAAGGTTATTCAAGCCCGCGTGGTGGCGTAGTGAGTATGGGTCAGAAAAGTGGACTGAATCTACGCTATCCGGGTAAAATGTCCACCATAATACACTGCGTGACGTACGTCTGTCAATATTAGCCCCGCTAGTATAGAAACGTATAAATACCTCAAACCCCATATCAAGGTCTTGTTAATAGATATACTCATTTAAATACACCATCCCTAATTCTTCTATAATTTGTCACACCATGTTAACATTTATATGTCTTTTGATACAACTGTAGGACCAACAACATATGCCTTAACTATACAAGAATTCAATTCTTAAATGTTCTCAGCCTTATATAATTGAAGGTGTGTACCTGCGAGTCAATCATGTAACAAATAGAATTCTTAAATGTTCTCGTACTTGTTCAATTGAAGGTGTGTGTCCAAGATTTGTTCCTGCTCGTCGACCTTGTAACAAATTTGATGAATGTGAAAATGATAGAGATTGTCCGTTGACACAGAAATGTTGTCGGCAAGGTTGTGGTTATAGATGTCAAAGCGTGGCCAAACCAGGTAAAGTGGTGAAACCCATTATAAATATTAATAACTTGATTCACGGGTATTTATTTGCGTCGACTCAAAACTTGAATTATCACCCGGAGAACCAAGTTAAGCGAGTCGATATTGAAATGGGTTAAACACGTCAGTATTTGAAAATGCACGGTGTGATATTTTTTTGAGACTCATCATAGGGTAAATGTCACGTGGGCCCAGTTGTAGAATGCACAATTTTTCGGTTTAAGTATTCGTGACACCAAGCACTATTATGCAAACTATATATAGGGTATGCTATTAGAGATGGCTGTTCCGTTTGTTCATATTGTGGTAAACATCTTCGAATTAAATCATGGTTCCGATCAGATACTTCAAAAGACACTTATAAAAATCCATTTATAGATCAAACCATGTAAAATAAAAATAAAAAATTCATTACAGTTTGCCCTACACTACCTTGTGCTGGTTTGATAAAGTGTCAATATGGACAAGAATTAGATTGGAATAATTGTCCAACTTGTCAGTGTAAGTATTAGATAAGAATAATTGTCTAACATGTCGGTGTAACTATTAGATAAGAATAATTCTCCAACATGTCGGTGTAACTATTAGACAGGAATAATGGTCCAACATGTCGGTGTAAGTATTAGATGGGTATAATTCTCCAACATGTCGGTGTAAGTAGTGGTTAACATTTCACTTGCTTTCTTAAAACTCAACTTATCAAATACACATGTACTTATTTCTCAAAATTGGTATTTATATTTATTTCTCAATCATCATATTATATTTTCCATATTCTGCACCCCAAAAAAACATTACCTCCTTGCAGTGGAAGCCTGTACATTTGACAAACCTTTCAGTAAAAGTTACGTACCAATTAATGTTACATCATATCTCGCCTGGTTCGACCAATGGGGTAATGATATTGTTAACTTATATTCATGTTTACAGGTAGATTATGTCCTAAAGGCGTGCAGTTGGTGAATTGTTTAGTACATCCATGTAAGTTTGCAACGTGTCCGTCTCGTCCAAATGCCAGATGTGTGTAAGTATAACAAAACGTTTATTAAAACTTTTGCAATATTATTCAAAACACTTTTCGAAAAGGACAAAATATCTTCGCAAAGGACACTCCATGTGGTTTGTCGACGAACTGGGTCGAGCAATTTCAATAAAGAATAGAAGCTGTTCTTTACCCAATATTTTTATATTCCGCAGCTCTAACTACTGTGGTGGGTGTAAAGCGGACTTCTATGAAAATGGTAATTTAGTAACCTGTTAGAGAGTGGAAGGAAAACTACGAAAGTGAATTTAAAAAAAAAAAAAAAAATGCAATTTGATTTCTTTTCTGTTTAATTTTGAAGCAGATGGTGCGTGGGCGGGGAGTTCTGGAAATGAAAAGAAATGAAATGACCTTTAACGCTCTACTGTTCTGCTCCGACTAGGCTAATGAAGGCGGAATTGTTCTAGATGAAATGAAATGAAATGGAATTTAACGTCCTACTGTTCTGCTCCGATCGGGCAAATAAAGGTGGCTTTCTGGAAGAGATATAATAGCAAATTGAAGATGATATATAATATGTAGTTCCTGAAATCCAGTTTCAAATATTCCCGAAATTCAACTATATATCATCAGCGACAGGTAGCACGCATACGAAGGACGACGATATATCCTTCACGAGAGCAGTATTTTTTGACATGAGTAAAGTTTTTGACAGGGTATTCCATGCCCTACCTCAAAAGTCTACAGCAGAAAAAAAATGTCGAAAAGCGTAAAATTTTAAGAGCAGTTGGAAAAGGGTGGATCTTTTAGGGATGGTTGGAAATGTTCAAATCCTTGGTTAAGATATGAGGCAGCAACCAAAACAATGTTTTGTTCCACATGTGAATCAGCTAACTTTATAAATGCATTCACATCGTAGTTCACTAAACAAAAGCTTTCAAGAAATAGGCCTCAACAAAGAAGAAAAGAGATAAGAATTTTGTAAATTGTAACATCGTGGGTATATTTTATGTATTTATACGAGAAAAACCAGATAGATACGCTCGTATTTTGGTTTGTTTTGGGGTGGCGAAAACAATATGGTTATTAAATTAAAATGGAAAATTGGCGGAAAAAGTGGAACCCAGAGAGAGAACTGTGGGACTATGTTACCAACTTCGAGGAGACACCTTCAATGGTTCCACAACTATTCAGAGGGAAGAAAGCGGTCTGTTGTTACTGGGGTGTCTCCTCTTCCCCAAAACTATTTCCCCGGTCCTCTTCATTTTCTCATTTATATAAATGACATTCTGAATGATATAACATCAAATGTTCAACTCTTCGCTGATGATACTTCCCTTTATCTGAAAATTGATGATCCCACTCAATGTGCAATTAATCTAAACAGTGACCTGGAAAATATTTAAACTCATGGGCTGGTATCCTTTAAGCCACTGAAGAACGAAGCACTAGAAGTGATTTAACACTATTTTGCCTATACCTTTTTTTAGGACTTCGAATTTTGTCTAATGGTTTGGATTGTTCGTTTTATTTTATTATTAACTAAGCAAAATCCTATTTTACCTATACTTTTACTTTAAATAGTACTCCTATAAAAGAGGTCTCTGATCACAAACATTTAGGCTTAACTTTTCAACGAAATTGCAAATGGAATAAAAAAAAATTAATGATATTGAAAATCCCCCAGTAAATGTGTCAATTGTTTAAAGTACCTTAAATGCAGACTAACCCACAAATCGTTACAAATCATTCTTTCATTCAACCTCATTTTGATTATTGTGACGTCTGCACGGGCTAACTAGCTAAGAAATTAGGGCTCCTACAAATGTTTATCTAACATTTGAAGCCAAAATAAAAATTTGTAATAGGCAAAATTAGCTCTAACATTGTGCACCTTTAATTATTGTCTACAGTGGGCTGGAAGGTGGCGTGGGTGTATTATAAAAAGAACACTCACTTTTCTGTCTTTAAGGCGAGTAAATTTGTTATTTTTGTTGGTTGTGGTGTTGCTGATGAAAATAAATGTTTTATTCGAGTCCAGATCGTTTCATATGAAATTTTGAAGTATATAAATATTTTACGATAATAGCAAAGAATTGTTATCTACATTACATGCATATCCAATAATTGCTAGGCGGACAGCAAAATAACAACAAACACTGTCTCTTGCGTTTATTCAATGCATAATTATATGATATATCAGCACTAAAATATGAAAATTTGAAACAATTATGACCTCTACATAAAATATAAGGCCTTCATTTGGAATAAAAAGATGCTCAAAATAATTTATCACCAGTTTGTCTTATGACAGTTTTGCATTTTCAAACGTTGTTATTCTAAATAATCAAGAGTCCCTGACATTTAGTGGAACTGGAAAGCCCATGTTGATTGTCACTCATAGAACATAACAAATAGTTGCAATCTTTGAATAAAGAATATAACAGTGACCACCGTCTTAATTACCTGATGATTGGTAAGAATGATAAGACGCCATGACACTTTCGTAAGATGGTGGCGGGTCAGTTGAACATGTCGGTGGAGCAGTTGGTTGTTTAAACGTATCATAATTTCCTGGTATATCTGCTATTTCATTGGTACTTCCTGATTCTGTGACAGCACTTGGGGTGTTTCCTGAAATATGTGCTATTTGACTGGTTCTTAAAGGGTAATTATTTTGATTTACAGGAACAACCTTAGATCTCTTCGCTGCAATATAATACGATAAACAGAAAATATCGATCAAAATGAGACACAGAGCCAGATTTAAAACCTATAACAGAAAACCAGCACTACGATCTGCGTTCATAAAGTGTGTTTTCTATAGTCATATGAAAATGTGTTCTCGTGACCCGTTCATAAACAACATTCCAGATAGTGTTCTTTCTTCTAGAATTATTTGTACTATGCTAACGAGCTAAACCTAAAATAAAGTATTGCCATGGTTTGATGAAAGGAGTTAAATCAAAATGTATTAAGCAGTTCTAATCATCTAATCGAGAATACGAATATAACTCATAATATAATGTTCAACTTTGGCGTTGTAACATTGGTGCCCAGAAAACAAAAATGCTTTCTGAAGCTCATTGGAGTTAATACGCAAATAATCATCCAATAATAAGTATGGCATTCTCAGTAGAAAAATGTAAAGGTGGGAGAGGGTGTCATTGTTTCAATAACCTGTAATTAACGCACATTTTAGGTGAGCACAATAAATGAAAATAATAATGTAACCAAGGTGTTAACTCCATGTTCCCAAATGAATAATTCCATCCGGTTGTACGCCGTACGGGTCACAATGCTCTGCTTTGCGTTCGAAATATTTAACAGTCAAAATGTAAACACAAAGATAACTCTGAAATTGACGATTGAAATATTCTGAATTTCCTCGGGTTTCTTTTTGATACCCCCATGAACAATCCCACCGAACTTCCGGCCGTCTGGTTCTTGAGCCAATGCCTTCCCCACTATGCCACCATGACCTGGCATGTAAAATACAAGTTACCTGTTGATACTTACGGCAAAGACAACACACGAGTATAAACAATAAGCCCACACCGAAAACACAACCAACAATTACCAAAGGAAAATTTGATTCACCAGAGCTGGAAGATGGATACATTCACATTAATGTTTTAAAATATAAATAAAGATTTAAGAAAAGTTAAATCCTGCTTCTCTCTTAGGGCTTTCATTTGAATACCAGATTAAGACTACATATGTCAATTAAGACCATTTAAAAGTTTACGGATCAATTTGCAATTAATGTTTTGAGTAACAAAATTGGAATTTGCAATTTAAGTTTGATTTTGAATACCATTCACCCGTACCTAATTAATGTGAAGTTCACCATTTAAAAGTTACGAAGCAATTTACTATCAATGTTATGAATAAGAAAATTGGAATTTGTTATTTAAAGGGGCATTTTTCAAGAGCTAAATCTGCCAAATGCAAATCTTTCAGTTGGCCTCATATGTTTTATAAATCATTAATAAGACATTTATTTACATGACAGGCCCATAATCAACTCTCTAGAACTTCCGGTGGTTTTGATTTTCAACGGATTTAAATACGATTGGCAGTTGATAATTTAATTTAAAAATGAATAATCGAGATTTTGTTTAGTATCGAAGCAATGACAATCGAGACTACACTGTTAAACGACGATAACTAACATATGGTCCAATTTTATTTCATTATTTCGTTTGCGAGTAGGGGTCTTTAAAAGTGGGAGGAAACCGGAGCACCAGGAGAAAACCCAGGAGTTTGGACAGGCAACCCTACTCCTTGTCACATTTAAGCGGAAAACCGAAACAACGTCACCTGACTCAATGACAGACCTTATGATGCAAATCGCACACGTTAACCATTCGCCCCCCTCCCCCTCTTGTGTTTTAAAGGTCATTAAAATCATGCAGTGCAGTCTTTCCCAATCTGGGGTCCTCATGGAAGGAGCCATTTAGAATTCACTATGACAAGTTGGTATTCGGACGATAAATTTCGGCAGCTGGAATACGAATGACGGCCATGTTGCTATGTGTTGGTATACTACTATTTGATAATAAATCTTCTGTCGTACCGACCATCACCTGTGTAACCAGTATTACCATTGCCACCATTATCACCAGTATTACCATTGCCACCATTATGACCATTATCACTCCTATCACCATTATCACAACAATATTCATCGCCTTCAGGACCACAACAATCAGAGTCACACTTGAATAGGTCAAAATTATTCGGAGGTGGGAAGGTATTATCTGGTCGCTCACAAATAGACCATCCATAACAAACTGTTGGAGATAAGAAAAAGAATAACTCTAGGTAAATCATTCATAACATGCTGTGGACGGTATGGCAAGATTGCTAGAATTTTTGGTCTTTAAATTAATGGCATATTATTAATATCTTAGGCTAATTATTGGATTCACTTACATGCATTGTAAAGAGGTCATATCTCACGTACTCAAATGAATGAGGGAGTTGTTGACACATTAAGAGATGTATGAGACCAAAACATAATTGTGAAATAACTGATGTAATGGAGGCACAACACGCGGTCGTCGCGCATGCAATGGGCTATATCGTTTGGGGTATAACACGAATTCCTGTAATCAAGTTTACAGAAAGTTGATTGGCCGTTTGTCCTCGATTTCGCAGGACCTGTGTACGAATGTATCGATCCTGGGCTTGTGTAGTGACTCTAGGTCGACCTGAACGAGGTGTATCATCAACATTGTGTGTTTGTTGGTACCGGTTCCACAGTCTGTGACACATTAAGCATGTTGGCTACTGCTCGCTGTGTAAAACCCATTTGAAGCATGTCAATAGCACGTAGACGTTCATCATGTTGAAGACTTCTCATTGCAAATTAAACGTAACACACTAAAGCAAAGATACGCTAAACGTTAAATTTATGCAAGAACCGATAGGAAAGCAAACATGGATAGGATAAACCAGCACGCGGCACTTTTCATCAACCCTTCCAAGAAGTGTCAACTTTGACAATGAACCGCTCCCACGTGTATGGTGCTATCGCGTGTCGCAAGTGCAGCTCAGTGGTTCTGTTGGGGCGATACGTTCTTCATCTGTGAACATCCTCTTAAAGCATGTCAAGTGTCCATGACTATTTATCATATCACAACCTGCATAGATATTTGCATTTCAATATCCCCTACTTTTTTGAAGAGTATTTATATCCCAGTACCTTTCGGTGTGTATCGGTCCGTAACTTAATGGAATATAGTCCTAGTTCGTAAGAAAAATCACGTTTTTAGCTTGTGGACACTCTAGAGGACACACGTTCTATCCGATTATGATGAAACTGAAAATGTATGTTCATTACCCAACGATCTCGGTTCCTTTTAATATTGAAGCATGTCGAAATGTAACATCCAGGATTATGGCAATTTATTGTACGAAAATCGCCTTTTTAGTTTGTTCCCTGTCCAAATTTACTCGTAACTAAAACTAAACCACGCGAACATATTTCTCCTGTGCTTAAACATACATTATGCAAGAGCCAAATCTAAGTCTTAATTTAGGCTTCAGATGTTATAGAAATTATAAATTAGATCTTTATTTAAACAACAAGCCCAAATTCAACTCTGTAGACCCACGGATGGCTCGGCTACAGCTCGGATTGAAATAGGATTTCACTAACTGATTAAATCAAATATGGCGCAACCTGATGAAAATACGTCAGTTAGATCGAGGCTAAATGATAGAGTGTACTTAGCGAGGCCGCTGTAAAGCGTTTCCGTATGCCATTGAAAACTTTACTTGATAATCGAGATATGTAGGTGGAGTTAACGCCTGTCAATCAAACGATCGGCCACGGTGAAGACGCATTTCGCTACCATTTCTAGTCAAATATTACAACGATGATAACTATGTTCAGAATAAAGTAATTTGACTGAATTTTTCAATATATTCTTCTTTCATCCTCTACTTTCGAACTGTTATAGCAACAATGGCCAACTCTCTATAAAAATCTCCCATAGTGTATCTTTAAACAGCTACACTGACTCCCACTTAGAGAAAGGATAATATTTAAGATAAATGTTATTGAATATAATACGCTGAATAATATCGACTCTCCTAAATATCTTCAAGAAATTATTGCACCTTACACTCCCTCGCGTTCACTTCGCTCACAGCATGAGAACCTTCTCGTATGTCCCCAGTGAAAACTGATAGTGGCGAGAGAACTTTCGCCCATAGTGGCCCAACATTATGGAATAGGCTATCAAAAAAGGTCAAAAAAGACTAAAGACTAAAAACGTGACATCGTTTAAGAAATGTCTTAAAACTGAACTCTTTAAATCTGTTTTACCTTAGTGTCAATAACTATTTTGTTTATGGTAATTTTACCAGTTTGGACATTTTATTATGTTCATTCCTTCAATGTGTTTAAATGTTTATCGTGTCATGGTTATTTTCATCTTTTAAAGATATCTTATGTAGATATCGCCCTTGAGCAACTAGTTTGTTGGATATTCCGAGCATTATGAATAGATTATTATTATTATAATTTAAAAAAAAAAACAAAAAAAAAAAACAATTTGTAACCATTCATTTATTAGTTCCAATAACCCTTTGTTTTAATACAGTGATTGAACTTACCTGGTGTGATTGACATCAAATATAAAAACAAGGCACAGTTAATAATTAACTGAAACATTTTTAGCTTGTGAATGTTGCAGTTTACAGTAAACACTCACACCAAACGGGGTATTATTGTACTGTTTATGGTGCAAATATGGCAGCTTGATCTTTGTATTTATTAACATGACTGAAGATCGCTATGATTCTTATTGAAAGGACATTAGTGTTACAACTAGTGAAGTGTTTTTCTGTGGGCGGGTTTACAAATAGAAAACTAGTCTTACACTATTCAGGATTAACTTTTGTTGGTGGTGTCTTGTACAATAATATCATGTGTGATACATTTGAACAATGATCCAAATTTCGAACAGCTGTTTAGGTAAAGCCGGAAGAACCTTTATTCATATATTATGTGAAATGAAATGGTGTGATTGACATCAAATATAAAAACAAGGCACAGTTAATAATTAACTGAAACATTTTTAGCTTGTGAATGTTGCAGTTTACAGTATACACTCACACCAAACGGGGTATTATTGTACTGTTTATGGTGCAAATATGGCAGCTTGATCTTTGTATTTATTAACATGACTGAAGATCGCTATGATTCTTATTGAAAGGACATTAGTGTTACAACTAGTGAAGTGTTTTTCTGTGGGCGGGTTTACAAATAGAAAACTAGTCTTACACTATTCAGGATTAACTTTTGTTGGTGGTGTCTTGTACAATAATATCATGTGTGATACATTTGAACAATGATCCAAATTTCGAACAGCTGTTTAGGTAAAGCCGGAAGAACCTTTATTCATATATTATGTGAAATGAAATGAAATGAAATGAAATGGTGTTTAACGTCCTGCTATTCTACTCAGAGATGATTAAGATAAACAATAAACCAGGGTAAAAATCGTGAAGTGGTAAAGTAAACAATAAAGATTTTGAATCACCATTTATAATTTACGCTAAAAAAATTAAGATCAACATTATCATGGCTATCCCCATTGTGCAGCTGAACATTTCTCAACTAGGTATCAACGGAGATTTAATTACAGAGTTTGTACTATGATTAATGTGATGTTCTATTCGCAATCTAAAGATTCGGCATTGGAATTATTTATACCTGTGACTATAATATATATCCAACCCACAGCTTTAGATCATAGGGGGAGCCACTGTGAGGAAGACATTGGCTAACCTGAGTTTTCCGTGTTCCATTTCTGTGCTGAACGAAAATGCTCATGGGAATTTTCCAATGTGGTTCCCGAAGCGTGGAGGTGGACAACGTATAGTCGTTCTGATGAGAGGAAAACAGAGGTCCTGTATACACATTGGCGTGTACGTTAAAGAACCATTGGCAGTCGGAATTGGTGATAAGAGTGGGCCGTAGCGCCGCTGTCCGGGCAAAATGTCCCCACAAAGCACACTACTTGGCGTATACCCGTGTTCATTAATCCAGTTGGGACAGAACAGTGGGACGCTAAACCCCATTTCATTTCATTTCGTTTCATTTATAGATCACGGTTGGTTTCATATTATGTAACAGGTGGGCCACAGTTTGTCAATAAATATACATAAACATTACAGATGGCAGCCCATTTGTCCATATTAAGACGCCAACAATAAAAATATTCTTTTGATAAATTCATTCATTTCTATCACTTGTGAGTGTATTGCGTTTTAGTAAATATAGCAGGTTAAACGTGAAGCTATATTGAAGTTTGCCTTCTATTGATTGTAAACTATGTTAACAATGTAACTTGCTGGTCTTTATAAAAGGGATAGGCCGTACACAAGTGATTCAAATTAAAGAATTACGTGCGATGATCATAATATTCTGTTTCTCAGAAATCGGATGATGATTTTTAAAACTAATTTGTTAGCCACTGGTCTTTTATAAAGGGATAGGCCGTTTACAAGTGATTCAATTTACAAAGTTACAAACGATGATTATAATATTCTGTTTCTTAGAGATCAGAGTTTAATAAACTAAGAGGACTTGGCACTGATGGGGAAACCGAAATGATTGTGCAAGTCAATGGAGTCGTACGTAAACAAAAAAATTCAAACCCGACAGCTAAATGCCCAACCAGATAATTTACCAAAATGTGAAACGATTGGAGGTCACTGCAAGGCACACAAAATAAATCTGCAAATGTTGATCCCTACCTTAAAAAAGTTTACAGACGTGCTTGGGCAGTTATATGATTTCTAGACTATAGTGCCGATAGTTCCGCAGTTCTTCTGTCCGTGCAGAAAATAATCAACGAATCCGAGCTGAAAGTATTACAACCTTCATCGACTGGCTGGTTAAACATAACTGTGTTCAACGCCGACATAAAATATTTTATCTTGGTAAAGCTCTGTAATTTTTATTCATAGTATCAACGAAAAACGGGCAAATCAATTTCCAATTATTATAAATTACCGGAGAGTTCATTTAAGAAAACGGCAAAACTGCGCAAAAACGTCCCGCGATTGCGCTTTTTCAATCCGATCCCCTCGAACTCCCCTGCTATTAAGAGGTGAACTCGCCAAGATTACTCCTTGGCCAAGAATACCGATCTGGGCACATCGCTTGCTGTGCTATTAGAAAATTCATCCATCACGCGTAGCAATAGATTAGTATTGCATTATGGTTATCTTTCTGTAGGGCCAGGCGAAACTGAAACTAAAAGGACCTCAATTAAGGTATGGACGTATATTGTCGTCGCCCATGTCCGTCCAGAATATGTTTGTGGACACAATGCAGGTCACAATTTTTATCAGTTTTTGACGAAAGGTGAAATATACGGTTTTCTCACAAAGATGTCCTATCCTTTCGATATTGGCTTGTATCGGACCGTAACTTCACGGATTATGGCCCTGATTGTACTAAAAATCACGTTTTTAGCGTGTGGACTGTCTAGAAGTCACAATTTTTATCTAATTTTTAACACCGTTCAGATATATCCCCATTACACGCTAATGGCGGTGAGTTCGAATTTCGTGACTATAGGACCGAAACTGCCCGACAAAGTGGACACTCCTTGCACGAAAACAGTGTAAAGGTATGTTATACCAAGGTTTCGGAACATCTTTACGTCACAATTTTTATCTGATTTTGATGAAACTTTAAATGTATGTTTATATCGCAGAGATCTCGGTTCCTTATGATATTGACGCATGTCGGCCTGGAACATCCATAATTATATGGCCCCTTATTGGACGAAAATCACTTTTCTCTGTCCATCTTTTGTTATAATATACTGCTTTCATCACACACATAGATTTATGCAGTCCTTGAAATATTTACAAACTTTTCGTTTAGCCAGGTCAGGGATGGACACTAAATTATGACCCCAGTCCTACTATCTCAAGTAGCATTATGACTCAATCCAAATACTACAACCATAAATATAATTCATGATACTCCTATACTTACAAGTGTTCATGTTTAACACATGTCTCGGTTGGTATAGGGACCATCCATTTATACACCTACTCAAAAAAGATCTAAATTCACAAGAGGTTTTGAGTCTAGCTTGCAGCGCCCGCCACAATTATCTGCCGGTACCCCCTTCAATAGCCTTCGCTCCCGGTTTTCCAATCCCCCCCCCCCCGCACACACACACACACACCCTCCATTCATCTGGATATGCAACGAAACATTCGCATATTTATTCCTTTGTAGGTAATTGGGGGCCTTTACCAGACAGTTCTATACAGATCAGATTATAATTTGTAGGTTCACAAGGTTCTACAAACTGAAATAAGGGTCTCAACTGTGGTAGTAATCTACAGAAATTGTTGAAATTTGACAGGCTTTTTCGTTTTACTAATTTTAATAATGCATATAAATTTCATACAGATCAGATGATCACTTTTGTCATTCAAACGTTCACATGGTTCACAACTGCCATAACCCTAGAAATTATTGACGGAAATTGCTGAAATTCAATAGACCTCTGTTTCACAAATTTAAATGATGCATATAAATTTCATACTTATCGGGTGATAACTTTGAACAATCGAGCATTAACAAGGTTGAACAAAGTGAAACAAGGGCCATAACTCTAGAAGTATATAACGTAAACGGAGATTGGTGAAATTCAATAGGATTCTTCTCTTTACTAATTTAAATGCACGTGCAAATTTCATCAAATCGGCAGATAACTTTTGATGTTCAATAAAGTGAAACAAGGGCCATAACTCTAGATGTAATAAACGGAAATTGCTGAAATTCAATAGGCTTCTTCGTTTCCCTAATTTAAATAATGCATATAAATTTCAGAAAGATCGGATGATAACTTTTGGCGTTAGGGTATTCACAAGGTTCAATAAAGTGAAACAAGGTCCATAACTTAAATAGGCTTCTTCGTTTCACTAATTTAAATCATGCATATAAATTTCACAAAGATTGGGTGATAACTTTTGGCGTTAGAGCGTTCACAAGGTTCAATAAAATGAAACAAGGGCCATAACGCTAGACGTAATAAACGGAAATGGCTGAAATTCAATAGGCTTCTTTGTTTCACTAATTTAAATAATGCCTATAAATTTCAGAAAGATACAATAATAACTTTTGAGGTTAGAGCATTCACAAGGTTAAACAAAGTGATACAAGGGCCATAACTCTAGAAGTAATAAACGGAAATTGCTGAAATTCAATAGGCTTCTTCGTTTCCCTAATTTAAATATTGCATATAAATTTCACAAAGATCAGATGTTAACTTTTGGCATTAGAGCGTTCACAAGGTTCAACAAAGTGAAACGAGGTCCATAACTCAAGACGTAATAAACGGAAATTATTGAAATTAAATAGGCTTCTTCATTTCACTAATGCAAGCAACATATATCAATTTTAAAATCACTGGATGATAACTTTTGGCGTTAGAGCGTTCACAAGAAATTGTGGACGATGGACGGCCGGCCGGGCGGACGGACGGGGTCGAAGGCAATATAGGTCCACATTTCTCTGTGGGCGTATTAAAATGGATAGGTTAAGAATCTACTATAACATAGTTATATGAATTAAAACACCATTATTGAGCTCTTTTTAACATATAAACAACACTTGAAGTGTGCAATATCATTTAGTGTGTGTTCATTCACAATCTAAACATGCCTCATATTAGTCGACAACATCTCTTTCTACTGGTGTATTGCACCTTGGTAACAGATTTGACCGTGGATCTCGACTAATACTTACCATTGCTTATCATGATAGAAGTTAGGAGATACTTTGTAGGCCACTTAAACGAAACAGTTCCCCAGCCAAATACTGCTTTAATTAAAATGGAATTCCGTCGAAGTTCTAAATTGTTTTGTTAAATGCCAGTCAATCTAATTACATAAGCAGGTCTTCTGAGAACATCACTGACCCCTAAGCTTGTCAATTATTCTTTACTTGAGGTGTAATCTCCACAAGTGTTTATCGCTGTAAGTAGTATGGTTCGAGAAATTAGGACTAATACTTTTGCAAATCATAACACTTTCCCATTGGATAGGAAACCTATGCCATAACTTAGTCTGTATTTGGCACACTTTAAATACCTCGACGAAAACCCTCTCTAACTCTATCAAAATAAGTATATTATCGTAATCCTTTTGCCTATACTGCTTTATTCTAATACAAAACAATCTTTGTTTTATTGTTAAATGTGTTGTATTATTGTGTTTATAGCTGTATATATTTGTCTTCATAGATGCCATTATATTATATGAACTTCGGCGTATTTAAAATGAGACCAGGCAGCGGAAACCAGATCTTAGATGTAGCGAAGTCCATGACTAGAAAGGGACCCAAAGAACATAGCAAAATTACTTTGCTATACGAATTGTCTTTTCAGTATAATATTATTCTCTTCAAATATGTATAAATAACTCCGGGTCCAATACTAAAAATTGACAATATTACGGTATTACATCTTAATGCCCGTAGCATTATGAACAAAATCGATCATAACGTTAGACCCCATTTCATTTCATTTTCATTTGCATTATAATAAGCTGTATTATAAGCGAACGCTTGACAGTTAGTATGTCCTATTCGAAAGTTTCTACGAAATTATGTCGAGGCTCATTGAAACGGATCAGTTTTATGTCTATATTTTGAGTTCATACAGTTGCATGTATTGTTAGGGATTCATCTGGCCGGAAAGCATAATATACCTTTTTTGAAAAGTGTTTATTAAAATTGTCAAAGAAGATAATTTTCTATTTTACTACTTGTGTATACATCCATAACACGATACTCCAAGATTCGTCTTCTTCAACACCCTTTTCCATTCCGCCATTTTACTTTTCTTCTGATGCCGAGTCCTGTTAAAAAAACGAAATTTAAAGAAGACATGATTTCTGAATAACATACATGGGGTAACACCCATTAAAGGAGCCAAGCCTTTAACAAAAGACCCAAGCTTTAACTTAATACCATCCTCAGTCTGAGACATTGCAAACACGACATATCAACTCAATTACCGTGAAAAGTTGGGCTTCTGATGAAACCATATCTCCAAATGCTAAAAGATTCAGAGAATATGCTCAACAGTATTTAAGACTGAAAGACGGGTATACAGAACTAGAACAATGACTGGGTGCATCACTGAGTGGGAATGGATAAAGAAAGTAATTAAAGAAGAACCAGGGTATTATCAGAGAATGACACATTACAAAGTTCCAAGGATAGGTCTCAAGTTATGAAAACAAATTGCTAGATAATTGAATTGTGGTAAATACATGGGCACATGTTAAGAATAGCTAAGATTCCTGTGTTATACTGCAGCAGTAGAAGGGAAACTGAAAATATGCATTTATGATAGTTTCTAATATTGGCTTGGATATTAATATAAAAGACAGTGAATTTAATGTCGGGATTTGGCTTTGAAGTAGTAAAATGACGCCCACGGCTAGCCCCTGCATTCATTCACTTCATCTGATATGTACGTTTGTTTATGATTTCTGCGCATGCCCTGTCCGTAAATTTGTCCTGTGTAAATATTTGTGTGTGATGCAGTCCCGCTGCACTTACTAATAGAGAAGGAATCACATGGGGTAGTATATTAATATATATTCTTAGATAATTAAATAGAAATATTCAGATAGTAATATGAATTGTTACGGTTATATATACTCACGTCTGTATCCGCCACGTTAAAATTAGCTCGAACAACTCTATCGTGTAATGGTTGAACAGGTCGGAAATTATTCTGGAGATTACCGCCTTCAGAAGACATTAATTTACGGAATTCGCCCAGCTGAAATAAATAATATTGTTTTGAATATCAAAATAAGAAGATTACATCCATTGGTTGTTTATTATTATTATTATTATTAGTATTGGTACGTGATCAGCAGTTAAAAGAAAGCGAGTTCGTTAGAATTCCACAGTTCTTCTGCCACAAAAACAAAGGAGCGTCTACCGAAAGAAGAGTTAGCAGTTACTGATATAATAAGGTACTTAGTTTCGGAACGAAGATTTCTGGTAGGGTGGGTAACAATTCGCGCAGTTTTGTTTTGATTCTTTTATAGTCTATTAATTTGATATGCTGGTAAGTTGTAGAGCAACGAGTTGCAGTATTCGAGACGCGAGGTCACCAAAGATTTAATTAACAGTTTTGTAGTCATTGTCGAGGAAATTGCGAGTAACATCATCATATGCTTAGCGCAATATAGCCTAGTTGGGACTGACGTGCCATTAAACAATATTTCATTCATTCATTCATTTGAAGAAAGAATAAGTGGCGGGAATATCATGTTGTTCAATAATATGTAACATAAGATATATCATTGTCTGCACAACATGGTCTACAAATCCAAATTTATCTCGTAAAATAAAACTATAATTCATAAGATTGTTACGGTCGATTTTTTAAAATTTATGTTGTAAAACTTCTACTTTTTGGGCTAGAAATATTTAATTAGAATGGATACGGGTTAACACAAAGGAGGTAATTTCAGTACTTAGATATTATGTAATATTTCTAATTCAATAAATTGTTCGCGTAGAAATTATGGCTGCCCGACCTATTCCTTGTCACATACACATCTGGGATAGAAACAACTATTCTTGATTTAATGACAGACCTAAGGATTCAAATCGATCGGGGCAGATCTTTGGCAGACTCCGATCACTCCACTATACTTCGGATAGGAAAGCAGGGTTTCACGTTCCATTTTAAAAGACTTTTGACTTTCTGTCACATTACCTTTTAGTCCCATGAACATCAGATAATCGTATTTTCCTTTGTATCTTATACTAGTATATTTCTGTAAATAATTTCTGACAGGAGATGATTTTTTATATGTTCCGGCTTGTTTTCTGGTCCAATAATTACATATTCGGTCTTTATAATATGTTATTAATTATAGAATAAATAGTGTTAGAAAACAACAATCAAAAACGCAATTTTTGATCGTACCTGGCGTTTTGAGATTTTGATCTTTTCCTTGAAGACTGACCAAACAACGATCTCGTCACAGCCTGGTGTTGTCAAACTTCCAAAGTATCGGTAAAAATGACGTGGATTGTTAGGAAGCAAGTCCCCCACAGCAAACTCCGGCAATTGTACACTGACGCTACCTGCAATTTATCACACAAAATGAATTAAATACATTTTAACAAAATTAAGTGTCGCGAATTGGCTATAAAATGTCACCAGTGGATGTTATATGAATTGCGAATTGTGTACATATTATGAAAGAAAGGTTACCGGGTACTCCCGCGGATTCTCTATGGTTTGAATAGTTTGCATACTATTTGCCTAAAATGCATATTGTGCTGATAGTTCACAGATATCGATCAAAGAAAACAACGAAAATACTTACTTCCGCTACTATATTCCGTTATCGTCGTTAGTTTAGAGATGATGTTAGTATACTTTTCATTATCGTCATCAGAAATCTACAAAAATACAAAATAATACAAGTGGCTAATATAAATTCAGATATCTCAGGCTTTCCTATACAAACATTGCCTAATGCTAGGTTCCCACTATCACGATTCATGCTACAATTGAAATCGTAGTTTTAATCGTGGTGATCCTATCATTTCTTATCATATATTGCGGTTAGTCGTAGCAATCGTGCTGATCGTATCGAAACGTATCCGAACGTATCTGCACGTACAAGATCGTGGACTCAATAGGGACAATCCTATCGTAACGCATCGCACGACAGTGGTAACTATGGAAGTGTATAGGGGTCAATATCACGAAAGATACCGCGATATTAATATGGTAATATGTCAAGATATTTTGATTGTTGAAATGATTTTAACTTTGATAAGGCAATTTTTGCTGAGTTAATTGAATCAATGCACCATGTTGTGTGCCGTCTTTTAGTTCTAAATGTACACGTTTGCGTTAAGATATTGCTATTCTGAAGCATAGTCGTCATATTCCTTTTCGTGGAAGTATATGTCGACATAGCGCACGGTGATAATGGAATGTTGCCAAAATATCCGAAAGGCAATATCATAACGCAAACGTGTGCATTTAAAACGAAATGGCGACATCTAACATAGCGCGTTAGTAAAATTTACTCTGCAAAAACCGTCTTTTGAGTGATATAATCATCACAACAATCACAATATGTAGACATAGTACCATATTAATATCGTGATATCTTTCGCGCTATTGACCCCTATACGCTTCCATAGGTAACCTAACATTCGAGTTTATATAATGAATTAGGCTTTATATAATTCATTCATTATCGATTAGGTCTTCCGTTGTGTTACTGACACCTATACAAAATAGTGTCCAGCTTTCGATATCAATGTATTAAAGTTACCTCAAACATAAATCCAATAACAGCCAGACCTTCAGATAGTGTTACCGACTGTCCTACATCTCCCGCTGAAGTTAAATAATGGACCAAATGCATCTGGAAGGAAAACAAAAATTTAAATGTGATGGTAAAAATCGGATAAACACAATCGCGGCAATTTTGAAATGAATAATGCCGCCTAAATACTCATTTGTATAAAGCGGCCATTATGGTATGAGTTCTGGCTTGTTCTGGAATTTGTTGCTTCTAGTGGTGATAATATTTGTACCGTGCGGTAAGGACGGCCAGCCCTCGATAAACTACTAGAAGGTTTTATTACTCAACAAATACCTTCTCGAAGTATGTAATAAAATCTAAACGGGTGCCAAGGCCAGGCATAAAGTTATTTTATAGGCCTACTATAACTAGGCATACCGGTATTTATCTTCAATTCAAGTTTTTGTTATATATATTTCTTCATTTTATGTTGTCTTTATTTTAAAGAAAAAAGAATGAAAGAAAAAAAGAATTGAACGAATATTTAGATATGTTAATAGCCATTTTTTAGATAAAGACTACACAATGTGGAGAACACCATAGAAATAACTAACTGTGCGATACAATTGGGCGTTTTTCCTCTAGAATAATCTGTGAAATTATAGAATAGTAAAAAAGAAAATGGGATAAGGCCTAGCCTATAATGGCCATGTGACAATATTCATCATCACATACAAGGTTGGGATCGAAACTCAATGACTGGCCTTATAATCTAAAATGCAGTCTTTAGACATCTCGATCACTCGACCACCACCACCCCTTCGTTATAAGCCGACCGTGCAAGTACGTTTCAATACGATGAACTGAAACCCTGCTGACCGGGAAGAAGTTCCATCATAACATACTTCTGTCTTCATTAGTCCGCTTGGTACAGAAATGTACGACGTTGAACCTCTTTTCATCACCGTAAAAGTCATTCTTGTACAAGTTTTCTTTTATACTCAGGTGTGCTCAATTGGATATTGTTTTTAAACTTCAACTTACTTCCATAGGAAACTGTTCTCCATTAATTGTGTGTTCCGAACCTTTATCATTATTAGAACCCCAATGAAAGTGTAACTGAAGCAGTTTATATTTTCCTGGAAGTCCTCCATTCTCAATAAATGCATCACCACTTGTTATATCTACCTGGGCTGAAATAATAACCCCTTTCCTATTACTTTTAATATGATAATATGACTTCTTCTAGACTCGGAAACTCAGATCAAGATTATCTCTGAAATGGAATGGACTCGTTCTCAGAATATCGGTTGATTGATCGTGACAAGAGTCCGATTTACGAAGCAAGTGCGTCAATTTGAACATGTTTGCATCGTTATCTGGGGGATTCTTGTGACGGCAGCAATCTCTAATAGGAATATTAATCCAAAAATAGTTCAATTCCGTTCAATATTTACAAAGATATGGTGAACTGAAAAATGGTCATCACCATTATATTCGGGGCAATCTTTTCATAATTTTTTTTTAAACCCAGTTTAATCAAATCAGGGAGATTATGTGCCGTTGATATTTGACTTTTGATTTCTTAATAGCCGTGACAAATTATATATTTTCCTGAAAATGAAAATAACGATCAGCGACTATAAATAAAATTGTGTATGCTTTTTTGATAAATATGCACATTTACTACACATTTTACGAAGCCTAAAATTATTGTTTTATCCTTAAAGGGGCATTATGGAAGATTAGATAAAAAGCTGGGAGTTATCACTATAATAGCTAAAAACTAGATAATGTAAAGGGAATATGCTGAAAATTTCAGTTAAATTACTCCACTCTGAATCGAGATATTACCCTTAGAATTTTAGGCCTAGCCTCGATCATCATTCATAAATTTGCTACGATAAAAAACATAGTCTCGGTTATTCATTTTTGGATTAAGTCATTAATGAGCGTTGAGCAGCAAATCGGATTCAAATCCAGTGAAAATCCGACACATAAGATGACATCGAGGGTTTATTATGGTCTTTTCATGTTAATAAATGTCTAATTTATAGTTTATATACCATTTCAGGCCCAAAGAAAGACTTCCAATAGGCAGATTTGGCTCTTGTATGTTTAATTATTACAGAAATCAAAAACTTCATAGAACAGCATTTGATAGCAATGGATAATTGTATGCAAATTTAAAGTTTGTTTGGCATGACTCTAAACCAAGACAGAATTTGACAAAATTATATCTTACCAGTATGGCCATTATTTCTTATGCTCATGGCGATTGGTTTATCGTATCCAGTCATTGTGATGTCTTCTAGGCTTAATTGTACGCTGGCTTCTGAACTGGCTATATTAATTGGTGATTGACGTTTATTACCACATATTGGAAAATTATCCGACCACGTAGACGGCCCTGCAAAACATTTGTAATAAATTGTAATGATCAGACTAAAATATAAATACAGATTTTAAGACCATACACAGTATCAATAACATTCAAATATATCAATCCTAAATTTAAAAACCACGAGTATAAGACATCTTTTAATTTATGTTTTGAAATATTATGAAGAATAGAGAAGTTATGAATTCAGCAATCAATAATCATTGGCTGTTTCTGTAGATTCGTATTGTGCATATGCCGGTTTCAACAAACTATGAAGTGAGAACCGAAGGGACCCTACATGTATTCTTAATTATACCTTTTGATTTGTTAGGGATGGTACTTTCTGTTGATATTTTTTTTAAAAGAAAGTACATTATGCTCTGAGTGGCTAGAGATGACCATACATCTACACTCAATACTGGTATAAACTAGGTGTCGCAAGTAGGTGGATGCGGATGTTAAGCCCCAAGAACGAACGAAAATACGTCTGCAGCTCACATGCCAATCTAATTTATCGCCTCAATTTGGCTTTTCCTATACCCCATGTTGATATATAATCGCTGTATCGTATGCTTAAATACAAAAATATATTAGGATACCGGGTAATTGTTGTTAACTAATATAAATTTAACGCAGAAAACTTCATTCGGTTAAGCAAGGCTTGTGTAAACGTTTCAAAGATATAGGAATCCATCAAATGTGAACGTAGATGGTCGAAGATACATTGTGTGATATGTAAGTATCTTCAATAAAAAAGCCAACATAACTCACCATTATTATCATATCCCCAAGCTGAAATAAAATAAATATCATACATTATATATAGTAATCAAATCTACATAGTATGTTTACTAGACGGGTGAATGTAAACGTAAAACCCATTAAACACAAAAATCTTTTTCGTATATTATAATCTTCTGATTGATTGAAAATCTTTCGACAAAGTCAGTTTAATTTGGTGAATAAGTTTTAGAAATTAAAAAATAACCATTAAAATGTTATGCATATGCAAAATCATTTTTATGGTAAACGTAGATTTTGTAGACATACTGAATTGGGTCATTGAAAACCCCAATTTATATTGCAACATGCACTTGAAAAGCTAAAATGTTTATTTGTCCCATTAGAAGTGATAGAACGAGTTATAATTACATAAATTACAGTCACTATTACAACTTATATAACACTGTTAATTATATTCAAGTATTCAAGGTTAGTGAATATTGAACAGCTTTTTTGATACCCTATCATTAATACCAATGTTCCTTCTTTTAGTTTTGGTCAATCTCATTTCTTCCAAACATCAAGATTTGAATATGAATGCTGCAATGTATGATAATGTCCCAGCAAGGCGCCGTGGTGTGAAGTAGAGTTCATTTGTGGTATTAGTCCTAGTATATTGTTTGACACCAGTTCAGCGATGGATTAATTATGAAAAATGAAGATCAGAATCTGAATCTGGACGTTTTTATGTCAAAAGCTCCAGCCAGGGGTATAATGCACCGCAGAGAGATAATGCACAAATTGTTACTAGAAGAATTGAGTACCTATTTGGCCACGAGCTTGCGTTCATTTTTCAAAATATTCTCAATAGATTTAGGCCGTCCTCGCTTTCCTGCAAATTTAAAATGGTTGAGTCTCGAGTCGCTGGTACGTGAATTGGAATACTTGCAAAAAAGTAGTCTTATTGTGGTGTTTTTGACCGTCCGTCTGAGCGTGATTGAAATATTTCTGGCTTGCTAACCGAGACTTTTGTTTTGGCAACAAAGATGACTTCGCTGTCAAAGTTTCATTACAGTACACTTAACAGTAGGTGAAATTTTAGCCATTACTATTTTATTTGCAGATCGTTATCACAATTTGTTTGCTGGTTCTTGTTCAGAGAATTGCAAAACATTGTAAAACAATGTAATGTCTGGCTAAGAGAACGTAGCTAAAAACGTTGAGATATACTGACGTGCTTGTTTTTAGCTGCGATTGGGTGCCTTTAGTTACAAGTGGCAAACTCAATTTGTTTATTAATGCATGTAACATCTTAAAAATAAGATAATTTTATACTATTATGACTAATTAAACTTACAGAGGCCAATGTAGTGGCACAGCTATCGCCTAACTCCAAATATCCGCGTTTAAATTAATATACTGAGATATACTGACGTGCTTGTTTTTAGCTACGACATACACCGCCATTGAAGTTCATTCATAGTTACGATGCTTTAGACATGCGCAAACCCTACACGCCCCTTTTACCATACCGCAAAAACATCCTTCTTGCCATTTATTATCAGGTCCAAAATAATTTCTTGTTCGGGTTTTAATTCAACGTTAACGCCGTAATTTGATTTTATTTACCAAAATGATTCGCGGATAGATTAGAACAGGTGGATGTCATTATATTTGTTTACATTTTCTCCACTTGCGATTGCCTTTTTGATTGGTTGTTATAAAAGCCTTATATTTAGCCTTATATACATCTCATAGCGTCATACGTCTCCCGTTTAAAATGGCGATCCTAGTAACGGCTTAACGCCTTGATTTTAAATACGATGATTTATATCCGTTTCAGGTAGGATTATATGCTTAATTGTAGTTGGATGTGGCAGAAATGTTATAAATAACAATAATCAGTCGTTGTTTTGATGAGAAATATTGTCAATTTTGCTTACTGAGGCCCGATCTGATTCGCGTTGGGCTTTACTACGTGGAACTATATAGGACCATCTCATTTCTCGAAACACGGAGGGTTGAGAGATGACATTTGTTATCTATGTAATGTCTATAGAAATCTAAAGGTTGCTCTGATGTGTTGATGTCAATTTTGGCAGTCATAGAAGAATAGATAGCTGTAGATAGTTACTGTTCATTAGGATATTAGGCCTAAGCCTATTTGAGCAGCCATTTTCGCCTTCCTCATTATATTTTCTGTCTTGTGACCAATGACTACCATTGGGCAGATCATTCTAGTCAGAACTTGATCAAATTGTGATTTAAAAAATTCCACTTGATTATGTAAACATATAAAAATGAAACAAAAGTGGTGACCCGTGAGTTTGCATGAGGAATAAGATCCCGTCCTTGCTCCCAATAAACAATATTTATATGTGTGTGCGGGGAAGGGGGGAGCTTCTCCCAGTGCCGCCGAGTAATATCGGACTTTGTGGAACATTCTAGAGTCGATTATAGCAAATCTGACCCACGGTATATGTTTGATACTGATTAAGCATTATGATTATGATTATAATGTTGAAATCCGCATTGAAACCGCGTGGTTTTTGCCATTTGCGACGTGGCGCAAAAACGTATAGGGGTACAAAAAACTCAAAACCATCTCTCACTTAGGCCCTGCACTTAGGCCCTTGAATTTCATATGGTTTCAGAATCCCGACCTGAAATACCAACCATATGTTAAAGATACGGTCTACACATTTCCAATAACAAATTTACATTGTTCCAATTGACTAGCTTTCATTTCACAAGCCCCCCCCCCCAAAAAAAAAACCGAAAAAAAAACCAACAAAAAACAACCCTAAAACTCCACTGTACCTTATTTCATTTACTCGACAATTGTATTATGACATTTATCGAATGTTGCAGGATATAGTAACGAATAAAAAATAACGTAAATATTAAACATACGATAAATTAACCAATAAGCGGAAATATAAATAGAAATGATTATCAATGGAAGGCCAATAAATTTATTGGTTTTCTTACAGAATTAAAACCATTAGAAATTTATCGAATGTTCCAGGATATAGTAACGAATAAAAAATAACGTAAATATTAAACATACGATAAATTAACCAATAAGCGGAAGGATAAATAGAAATGATTATCAATGGAAGGCCAATAAATTTATTGGTTTTCTTACAGAATTAAAACAATTAGAAATTTAATAATGAAAATTAAATAAAGTGAAATCGGGTTTAATTTCCTACTGTTCTGTTCTAACTGGGCTAATGAGGACGGTCATACGCCATACAGTGTGCTACGAGGGACTACGGCCTACTGTTATATCGAATTCCAACTTCCAAGGGATCTTTTACGTGCACGCGGAACATCAGTCTTTCGCCCCATCCGTACGACTAGACAGCTTTCCTTGTCAGACCCTGCATTCTGCATCACTGACAAGGGGAACCACGTCGGAAAATTCCGAGGAACTTTGGCGGACAACACTGGGAGCGAACCCGCGACCCACTGAGCCACTAATGAAAAATATAAATAATTCTTAATGAATTGTCTATATTTTGGAAGAACATGTTTGCTGTTTAATTCTATACTCCGCAATGTATATGACATTTATTAAAAGGGCATTATGGAAGATTAAATAAAGAGCTGACAGGTCTCACTATAATATATAGTAGTTAAAAAATAGGTAACGCAAAAAGAATATGCTGAAAATTTCAGTCAAATTGCTCCACCCTGAACCGAGATATTAGCTTTTGAATTTTAGGCTAGCCTCGATCATCATTACTAAAGTCGGTACGAAAATAAACAAAATCTCGATTTTCTTTTTTTTTTACGTTTAATTATTTTTCAAAAAATGTATTCCAATCTGTTAAATATCGCAGGCTAGCGATTGCATGGAGAGTTGATTATGGTCTGGATAAGTTAATTAATGTCTAATTAGTAATTTAGATAACATATCAAGCCTAAAGAAAGACCTGCAATAGGCAGATTTAGCGCTTGCATAATGTATGTTTAATTGTCACATAAATATACTAATGAAAAACAAACTAATGAAAAGATAAACTAATGAAAATATAAACTTATGAAAAAATAAATCATTGATAAGAAAAGAAATAATTGTTAACAAAATTTTTATATTTTTGCAAGAACTTTTTAATTTGATTTAAATTCCCGATTGTCTTCTAAACTACAAAATGACTAACCATATAAAGGCAGTTTACTTGCACTTACAATGATTTGTACAAGGGACACGACGTACTCATTTCACCCATCATTGAACCCAGTCTCCCAAAATCTGACATAACAGTTTATATAGTTGGTGTAACAATATCATCCAAAAACATACTTTAATATGTTAAGAGCACAAAACTAACCAACCGTAAAAGAGCACAAAACTAACCAACCGTAAAATATCGCCTAGTTTATTGACATAGTTTAAAATATTGAAACAAATAAATTATGTAAAATTGCCCATCCCTTTGTAGAAATTAAAAGAAAAAAAAATTAAATTTATTAACATTGTTAGTCTTAGAAATGAAAATAAAATATTATTTAAAAAGAAAATAACACATCTATTTGTCGAGAGTATCATTTTGAGCTATTTAGTTCATGATAAAAATCTGAAATTTTACACAGTGGAAAAATAAAATAAAAAATAAATTGTAATGAATACTTTTTAATTTGGGTAAATTGATTTTTACTTACACACACTTGTTGCTGTATCTACTTGTATCAATGCAAGTAAAAAGAGGGCCACACACGTCAGCATGTTTAAAAATCTTTTTTCTGTGATCTTCACTAGACTGTCTCCGAATCAGGAGTGAATCTCCATAATAATTCCAGGTTTTTATAGGGGATCTAAGGGCGGTTTCATAACATCATAGTTACATGCAATTCGCTTATCTTACAATTTTTTTGTACGTTTGATGTCATAGTAACTGATTTCTTTTTAAGTTTTGAAGTATATATTTTTTTTTCTTAATTCTTACAATTAAAAACTATCTTGAGTTCGCACCTTGAAATATGTGTCGTCATTGATTGCATAGGCAGATATGAAGAATAATACCGAAGGTGTCTATAATTCACCAAAGAAAAAAATGGAAATCTAGCGAATGTTTATACAATACTTCAATTGCTACAATTAAAAAAAAAATTCTATACGTTAATAAGTGACGAACTGATATAACATGAAAGGTTCGTATTACGTGTATACTTTAAGGTCTTTGCACTCTTGGGGCAGTAGTGCAGGCATACTTGAGGTACTGGGTAATCGTACTCTATGACAAGTACCACATAATCGCGTGCTTTAGATCATAAGGTTTGTATTGAGTTATGTGGCGTGTTTTCGATTCCCTTCTCGTGTGTGACAAGGGGTCGCCTGTACTCGTGGGTTTTCTATGGGTCACCGATACCCCCCCTCCCACACACACACACAGACACACTGCTAAAGTTTCATACGCGGAAGCGAATAAAATTGAACCGTATGTTAGTCCCAAAATAACTTGGGTTATGCCAAGTGGACCTTAAGCCTATTTTTCTTCCTAGGAGAGAGCCACTGTTAGGGCAAAATTGCCAATGGCTTAGAGAGTTGATTATAGGCTTTTCTGGTAAATAAATGTCTTATTATTAGTTCATACTAGCGGATGACCGGGCACCACACTGGTTGAAAGTAGTATAACTCCGAAAACGGAAGGGTGGGCCAACGTCAAAAAGCCTATGTTACTCCCCAGTCCGAGTTGCCGCTATACACCAATTTTCAGCCACGGGAGAGCCCCAGTGTAGCCGCCAACCCCGAGCAGACAGACAAGAGAGAGAGAGAGATAGAGAGAGAGAGGGAGGGTTATTGCGGGACTAACATATGGTTTAATTTTATTTCAATAATTCGCTTTCAATAGGGGTCTTTAGCAGTGGGCGGAAACCGGAGGACCTCGGAGAAAACCCACGAGGTTGGACAGGTGACCCTACTCCTTGTCACGTACAACCGGGATTTGGAAACCACGCCAGTTGACTGGCCTTTTGATAACAGACTGAAAAACACACAAACAAACGACAGTGACAAAAATTAATATAGATAACATTTGAACCATAAAACGGCCAGGCCTAACGTTAATAATGTATAAAATTGGTGTAGATTCAAAAGTGGTCTCGCGTATTTTTGTTGTAGGTTGTGGAAAAATCAACCTCTGATTATAGTTGCCACATTATGCCTTGAATGGAATGGAATGTAAGGCACAAACGATATTTCAGCCTTCGACTATGGAACCGTTTAGCAGTCAATAGCGCGATACATACCGCAATATTAATAAGGTAATATTTCAACATATTGTGATCGTTGCGCGATGATTTTACCCTGAAAATTTTGGCCGAGTTAATTGAATCAAAGCGGGGAATGCCGTTATTTCGTTTTACGTGCGAGCATACGTGCGGCATACAACATAGCACCGCCCTTCCAAAACGTCTGTCAATTTTTTGCAGAAACAAAAAAAGAGCGGTTTGTGGATTTGATTTAGTGGAAGAGAACACTTGTTTGTACATCAGAATGTAAACATCCACATCCACATATTTCACGCGAGAAAAAACGTCAGCGAAAATATTCGAGCAACTTTTTTTTCCACCAGCGTTTTCTACCCAAGAAATGTCGTATTGTCGGGTTTAAAATATCGCGATGTCGGGATGTCGGGATCTAGTGATGTCGGGTTAAAGTGTCGTGGTATCGTTTAGTTGGGTTGGACATCACGACATGATACCAATCAGCCAACATATATCAGGGACTTAAAGGAGATAAATATA